CTAACCCCCAAACTCTAACCCCTAACCCCTAAACCAGAACCCCTAAACCCTATACCCTAACCCCTAAACCGTAACCCCTGAACCACCCACTATCTGGATCATAGACGGGGAGACCAACCTCAAGCCTCTAAGTGGCGCGCCGGCAAACCCCTTTTCAGGAGCAATGTGCCTATAGGCTCCCCCCCCCCAAAGCTGCTATACTTACCGCAATGGAGGGTGGGGTCCATGCCAAGTTCCCGTGGTGTCAAGCTGAACAGCCAGCCCAATGCAGGGGTTTTGAGTTTTCCCTTTCTTTCTGACAGATCCTCCTCTATAATCAGCTACAAGCTGAGAATCCCAAGTGCTCCAACTACCTACACCCTTTGTCCCTGCCGCATGGAAAACCTGACTGGCTACATTAATTAAGCAAGGACCAAATGCAACACGCTCGAAGCCCTAACCTGTAGATCCAAAGCCCAATGCCCTCAAGCCGCAATCCAAAGCCCGGACAGAACCCCAAATTCAAAGTCCCAACACAACATAAATCCTAAGCCCTAAACGCAGGTCCAGGCCACGGGCCCGGATGTGCTGGTACTTACTTGCCCTCATATAGCAACCGCATTCACTCCAAATCTCGAAGCCCTAAACTCCATAGTAGTTTCCATGTTTTTTTCCACTCCCAAACTCCCAAACTCCCCTGTAAGCACTTTTCCGCTCCCAAACTTCTCCAAAAGCACCAGTCAGCCAATTGAGGACATAGAGGACTCGGACTCCCGGGGCCGCGCCGAACTGAGGCGATCCAGGGGTATCAGAGCTTGGGGTACTGCGGTTGAGTTCAGGAGTTTAGAGTTTGGATTCTTGAGTTTGCGGATGTTTGCGGTGAGTTTTTTGGGTGAGGATTTGGGATTGATCGTTTGGCGTTTCAGGCTTCAGGCCCCCGCGATTTCGGGTTTAGGGTTGCCAAGGATCTCGATCTCTCTCTCTCTCTCTCTCCGTCTTTCTCTCTCTCTTTCAAGGCAAAAGGGTTCCTCAACGGCTCTGCTTTAACAGCAGGTTCGGGTTTGGTGTTTAGTGTTCATTGATACAGTGCGCCATTGAGCATATGCTGTTTGAGGTGGTGAGTCCACGGGATGACTCCTATCCCCTTCGGAAGTAATTTCGTTGTAGTAGTATAAACCCGCGGAAAAACTACTTAAGATTTTTGTTTTCACTCCAAATTACAGATCCACCCCCCTCACACCCACTAATGTTAGATATTCTTGAAATGCGGCATTGCATTCATACATTTCTGTTCTATCAGGCAGCAGGAAGTTCATACTGGGGGCTAGGGACAGGGAATATGTCAGTGCTAGGGCTTAAGAGCTCTGGCCGGTCGGACTCAAGTCAGACTCACACAAGGAGACATGGAATGTCCAAAATTCCTTGAAGAAGCAAAGTCTTCTACGTTGTTCTTCAGGGTCTGTTTGCAGAAGAGTCGCCCGCATTCTTGTTTTCAGTGGTTTTTCGGAGGCCTTGAAAAGCACTGAAATCAGAAAGGTAGTTTACATTTTGTGTTTTAGCTGTTTTGGGAAGCCTGAAAATAGACCAGCCTCTTGCGCGTCTCATCTGAGGCGTTAGTGGGGCTCGACTCCAAGACTAGCCAATAGAAGAAAGAGAGCTGCCTTCATGATGGGTTTTGGGAAGGCCGAAAAGCTTTGAGACGGAAAAACCAAGCCCCCTCATAAAAGCATTGAAAGCTTCTGAGCTGAAACAGCTAATCCCCTACTGCAGATTGCAGGGACCTCATCATGCCACATTGCCTAATCATGACATCTAGCATTTGACCGAGCTGTAGGGCCCAGTCATTTGAAAAATGGCTTCGAAGCGTTTGCATAGTTTTGCACCCTCCTTCGTTTCTTGGCAGTCTTTTGTTTTGCATTGTCCTGCTGACCTGTAAGCCCTGCCTTTCTAAAGTGAGTGTTCACCATACAGTAAGGAAGGTACGCTAAAATGCATGGCCAGACCTTCTTTTGACCAAACGCAGTGGTTACCTGGAAACCTCCAAGTGAGTAGTATTTAATTTGGGGATATTATGGTACCCAATATAGAGTAAGATTATATCCTCCTTTTGGGGTATAGTATCTTACATAAGAGATATAATCTTGCTACGTTCAACCACCAAAAAACGCTACTCAAGTAAGCCCTTCGCCAGGCTAGAGCCTAAGCAGCTTGGGGAGAGAGAGCATGGGAACCTGATCACCAGCGATCTGCTGGACGCGGGCACTGCAGTGCCTTTGGCAGGGAATCCTAAGAAGGTCCTGAGTTTTTTGGTTCGAAAGCAGCGATGCTTTTGTGGAAGCCCACATAGTTAGAGTTTTGGTATTTGGGGCGTCTGAGTATGAGTGCTGCGGAGAGGGTCTCATAATCAGTTTTGAGGGGCCTCGTTTGTGCTGAAACTATTGCTGTTCGAGTTCCGAAGCGCGGATAGCCAGACTAAGACCATGTGAACACTCACGCCAGAATCCTTGGACTCACTGATTCATGCCAAGTCGGCCGCGTACTCTACAAGAGTTCAGGGGCACGTGAAGCCCCCTTGCGGTCATCAGTTTTTCACGGCACTGCAGTGCAGTGCTAACATGATGCTTTTGATGGTCAACTCTCGGACTCAGTTACCCAGGGACTCCCATGTCCCTAATGAAGGAACATACCTTAAATCATGAACAGGGTCCTAGTATGGTTTAAGGGGATATTTCTTGATCGAGCTTTATTGGCAACATAGCTTAATCACGGAAAATACTTTGAATCATATTAAGGGCCTTACTATAACTGCTATATTGGGCTCCCTGGAAAGGAATGGGCATTTCAAGTCGCTGTTCCTGTATGCCAGGATCCTTTATGTAGGGACATCCCAGCATAAAGGAAGGGAGAAGTAGAAGTGCATAACGGAGGAGCCCACAACCCGAAGATTAGGTCCCCATCAAGCCCTGGCACATCTTCGTGACTACAGTCGAATGCGCGTGTTCAAGCCCTAAACTCAGGTCATGCCGACCATCTCCGAACGTGGGTCAGGCACGGCCTCCAACAGGCCTATGCAGTCCTACAGTAAGATGCCCGCCGCTTGACACGCATGTGAGGGCTTTAGGGGTAGGAGGGTATGTCATGTCAAAAGCCAGTGGATTGAAATTAGTATGGGCTGCTTTCTTAATCAGGTTTTTCATGAGGGCGGTGTAGTGGGAATTTTATAATGTTGGAATAAATCGAGAAATGTTAGTATGAAATTAACAAATTTACAAAAAGATTTAACTGTTGGATCTTTATTGGGGTTGGCTACCCACTCCAGTGTCGTTGGGTTCTATGCGAGAGTTTGCATGTCCTATGCCAGGCTTTCACTGTGACAGCGTGCTGCCGCCAAGGGGGCATGACATGATTTCTATTTCCACAAGTATTCGCCTCCTTTTCAACATGCACCCCCAACCCTCTGCGTTTAGAATTGCCAGGTGGTGAAAGCACCGTTAATCAGGGACGGTTGTTATGTTTCGGGGTTGTAGGACAGAAGCTAGCCGTATACGGGATAACGGGCAGAATATAGACCCACCAACCAATATAAAGCTTATTTATACAATGAAGAATCCAAATTATGGGAGAGCTTGGACCTATGCCGACGCCTGGTAGTTTTTGGGCTTCAAATCCGGAACTCGAGAATTCCGAGTGCTTTTGGGTCATTCGCCCTCACGGTAACTGTCCTGAAAGGGGTCTTGATAAGTGGCTACGAGAATTCCTAATACCCATTGCGGTCACAGGTAATGTAAGGGGGCAGAACCCAAGCCTATTCCGCCTAAACCAGTTTTTATGATATAAGGTGTATATAGGGGTTGGTTGGTTGTTCAGGTCTTGCAAGGCTGTATAAGGGCGATGAAAGGTGCGGATGTCTTCAGGGTCCTAGGTTTATAGCAAGAGGACAGCCCCAGGAGCATGTTTGACCCGAAGGTTGTTGTTAACTTCAAAAATTAGAGTCCTCCGTACGTACCCCACAAAAGAGAAAGGCCGCCAAACTCTACCCAGTGGACCCCAAACCAGGAATCCAATGCGCTGAAATGTAGTGCTACAAAAAGATGTTCAAAGTGCATTTTTGCTTACCAAGAAATCCAGTCGGTATCTCCGAACTTTTGTTGGGTAATGGGCAAAGGAGCTCTAAAACCTCAAGTCCCCCAGGCGCAGCGATCCCAAAGTTTAGCAAACCACAGAACTCCAAATGTAGAATAAATGGCTGATTTTTTTGACAGATTTCAGAGGTTTTGCGTCTTTTGGAGTCCAGGTACCTCTGAATTATCTTTAGTCAGGCCCTAAACAACCTTCATTAAGGGGGGAGCTGCGCGGGCTCTGTAGTGTGTAAAGTTTTGATGCGCGCCAGCCCCGTTGGAGACCCCCCTAATATACTAGAAACCCCAATACCCCTTAAAGAACCCGAACATGATACAAGGAACATCCCTCCTTACTGGGTTTTAGTAGGGGAAGAGGGAGGGAAATATACATTCCCTTCTTTGTGCCCCTCAGGATCTTGAGGAGATGGAGCAGAACCAGGCTTTGGCGCGGGTGAGTTCGGGTTTCGGCTTTGGGGCTGATATTGGCTGACAGCTGCTTGCAAACGGGTTTCTGGGGTAGATTCTCAGGGTCCCTGGAAAAAACCGACAAGACTCTCCAAGAAACTCCGGGGTTCCCTTCTATCTAATTCCCTTGGGGTCGGCCATTGTCGGGGGCCTACCCTAGCTTAGGTTCCCGACATATTATGTGCAGCGTCATGTGTAGAAGGGCTGGTTGAGATTTTTAGGGTTCTCTGGGAACTCCCAATTTGCTGCTATAATAGATGACTGTCGCTCAGTACTACACCCCTATACCCTAGTCCAGAACGACAGCATATTTAGGTTTTCCGGTGGCTGGCACTATTGAGGAACCATCGTTTTGGCTGCAAGTGGGCAGCTTACTTTCTGCGAAGAGGGGGTACAGGGATGTCAGAGGCTGAAACGAGGCGATCTACTCGTAAACCCTATCCGGCCCTGACAAGGAATGATCGCACCATCAATTCCTGCATTTCCTAAGATACCCGGTCCCCCCCAAAAAAGCTCTAAATACTGTTTTTGTACGTAGTTGAAAACCATAGTTCTGATTCTAGGGACGCCCCAAAAGTGCCTTCTAATTTGGGGTAAACTTTGATATACTATAATTTACTGTAATACAGTCTATAATATACAATTACCCCCGCCCGCAAGATGTTCGGATGATGGGTTTTCTGCTGTCCAGCAACAACTTGTAGCTAAGCTTCATTCGCCGGGTTCCCCTGGGTTCCACTGTAATGTAGACCCCTAATTAATAACCCCCCTCCCCTTAATAGGGGCTAGAATAGGGATCCTAATTTTAAGGGCCCTTAAAAGGAGGGGTTTATTAATCAGGGGTCTACATTGGGTTCCGTATCGAACTAGTGTAAATTCTGCTGCAAATCGAGTCCCTGTTTCAAGGTTCATGGGGCTCCTAGGTTTAAGCCAAATGGAACCTGGCAAATGATGTGTCGCACGATTGCAGGTGTTCGACAAGTTCCTATTGAATCCAAACTGGACAAGCAAGATGACCTGGGACTTCTTCGTCATGTTCCTGGTGCTTGCGGATTCGATACTGGGTTGCTGTTAAGGAATTTAAATAAAGGTAACATAATGGGTATGTGTAGTAATCAATACGGCTTCCCCAAAATAGTAGCTTACATTAAGTTCCTTAACAGCAACAAAGGATAATTTTGCCATTTCAGCTGGCATTCAAGCACGGCATGCCAGATGATGGCTTCGACGAAGTCTGGTTCTGGGTGACGACGATCGTTTTCTTTACAGATGTGGGGCTATCCTTCAACACAGCCATTGAAAGCAAGGAGAATCCTGGGACATGGATCACCTCTCGCAGGCGTATAGCGGGCATGTACCTCAGGGGTTGGTTCTCCATCGACTTCTTCAGCACAGTTCCCTATGGTATGATTGCAGAAGGCATTTTCGGTGACACTGGATCTGCTGGTGCTGTTAGACTGCTGAAGATGCTGAAGTTTCTGCGAATTATGCGGCTCATGAAGATGCTGCGGATGTCGAAGCTCAAAGCTGTTTGGGAAAGAGTTGAGGTACGCATCGGCTCCATCGCAATAATTCAAAGTACCGCGGAGGTTCTATGGCACTTTTTTTTTAAACGTCTTATATGGCTAAGCTGTAGATGCGGCATGTATCGACCTGTTTAAGCAGGTGTGTGGGGGCCCCAGAATTTCCACGGCTTGCTGCTGCGGTAAGACCATGTGATGCAAGTCCTCTTTTTCCGAGCTTTGCAATCCTTGGTAGCACATTGACAACAACACCCCACTAGATGCTATGAAACATAAAAAAAGCAACGGTGGCTCCACATTCAGCACACTGACTACGGTCTGGATGCCAGGGCAGCCACTGTTCCTGACAGAAAGTCGTCCAAAGTAGGATCCGTAGTTCGCAACTCGGAGCTTGAGCTGCCAAGGCATCATGCTTATGAAAGTCCTTGCGTTTGTCATTGCGATGTGCCATTGGAACGCTTGCCTCTTTTGGGCCACTCGTCAGGCTTTCAGCAGGAGCTTCCACTCACAAGAAAGCCTCCGGTTTGTAGAGCTTAGCTGGTTTTGCGAGGAGTTTTTCTGGAAGGATCTGCAGTGTTGTGCGTCGCTCTGCAACATGCGGTGCGTTGTGCCTCAACTTCGCGTCTGACAGTCTTGGACTGAGCACGAGAGAGAGAGAGAGAGAGGGAGAGCGTCACTCAGGATTGGGTTGGGGATGAAGCGGCATGGTTGATAGCCTAGAATTCTGCAACCCCTGCATTCTGCAACCCTCGTACCACCAACTGAGGTGCGTTGATCTGCAGTGTTTGCAACAAGGTGAATTATAACCATGTTTGCAGGTCTCCCCAGTAAGCCTAATATCCAGCATTTCGGGTGTTGGGCTTGGGCCTTGCCTATCAACCTTCCCCGCTCTTCGCTTCTTCTGGACCCTGCCCCTTCAACTTTCAACCGCAAACCTTACACTGGCAGTCAGAGAGCTGAAACATCAGTATCCCCCAGCCTTGAAGAAGGACAGGTAGATGTTCCCATGTTCCACCTGCCTGGGATTAGCCCGAACCCCCCCCAAAAATTAAGTCTAATGCCCTATACTATAGCCTAAACCCTAATACCCTAAGCCCTAAAGCGTTGAATGGCGTGCAACATCCAGGTGATCGGCAGCAAAGATAGATCCTTGGGCCAACTTTGATAGGTTTGGATTTTGTGATTAAGGTTTGGGGTTTAAGGTGTAGGGTTTAGCGTGTGTACCTGGAATCCAATTTTTGTGTAGAATTTGTCGTTTGAGTCTTTGTATGGGTGTTGAGCTCTTTTTTTTCTCCTTTTGGGCTCCAGGTAGTGTTTTGGGTCTAGTGGTTTGCGTTTGTTAGTGTTTAGGTTTTGCAGTGGGCCTAAAAATAACCAAGAAAGCTCTACTAGCAGCCTTACTTGGGGTCCATGAGGACGCTCATTGGGGTTAAATACTGCGAGTATGAATATCGTGGAGTATATTGGCCAAAGATTTGGGCATCTCATTTTCTGCAAGCGTTGTGTGCGTGTGTGTGACATTCTTGGTCTTCTTTGGCTTCGTACAGTCCTAGAAAATCTGGTGAACCCCTCGAGACGTAGTGCTTACTTACAGGTGGAATCAGGTGGAGTTACAATGCCATTTATGATCGTGGGTGGGCCAATAGCGGCCAGCTGGGCAGTATGAGTAGGGCCATAAACCCACCTGAAGGTGCTAAGTCCTGTGAACTTCCACTCCTTCTTGCGTTGGTGCCGCCCCCCTTCTGAATCATGAGTCCACACAAGCTACTCTCAAAATGATTGTGATGAGGGACTCTTAGCGGGGGATCCAGGTTCCCTGTTTTGATTTTTGTATGGCCTCGGAAGAAAACCCTACTGAAGTCCCATGGCTCCAGTTACAACAGCTCCTGATCCAAAGGTATAACCCTCCGAAATCCCAACCCAACACTCAAGCCCTAGATTCTATTTTCCTTGTAATGCACTTGAACCCAAGACCCTAAACCCTCAACCAGACTGCGCTCATAAAAAGGTCTCCTCACAGACTTGATGCCATCTGAGATGGCAACGAACTTCCGGAGTCTTTCGGCTGCGGTCAGAGAGTCACCCTAAATCCTAAGCCCTAAACGGATTCGAGCCTTGCTATGCTGTCCGTGCCATGCAAGTTTCAAGGCCGAAACCCTAGGCCCCACCCTACAAAGCATGGTGGTGGAATGGGAGCAGCAGTTGTATAATAGGCATACAGAGGGATTCTACTTCTGCTCGTGGGTGGCGACCGCCTAAGTTTGTGGGTCTATCGGGTGGACCTGTTTTTGAAAGTTCTGGCTTTAGGGTTTAGCAGGGTTTCGGGCCTAGGGCTCCAAGCAATAGTATAATAACAAGGTACCCTGCTTTGAGCAATCCCTGAAAGGTAGTAAGCCCTCCACCTCACTTCAAGAAAACCCAAATCATGCTCCATACTTGGTTTTGCTTGAAAATAACACCTGACGCTCCGCTGTACCCCCAAAGCCAGGAGCCACATTGGGTTTGGGTTTAGGGGAAGACAGACCTCCCCCTTTCAAGATTCATGGGGCCCAGTACTTGGAGGGTCAGGGGGACATAGTAAGTAGGTTTATAACCCCTATAACCCATATAGTAACACTAGTTATCCTAATTATTAACCTATTCACTAAGTCCCCCTGACCCTCCAAGTAGCTGCTTACAGCCAGGGTTTCAGCCCAACTTGCAATAGTCTTTCCAGGTGGCCTGAAGTGGTTTGGGCCTACCCCATACAGAAATCATGACGCAGTTTCAGTCAGCCTCAAGAAGCTGCGGCCATAATGGGAGAATTTTGAGGCCCTGTAACTATCATGCGATTGCAAGAGGGTGCTGATTTCCCAGCGGTGGGTTACCAAACTCCTCATATGACCCAAGCCCTAAATACCACATACCCTCATGCTTTCATTTCATTTTCTATGTGATTCCCCAGGGTCGAAATCTTTTTTATGCAGCCTGCAAAAGCCCTGTGCAATCCCTTTATAATGCCTACCTATCGTACGCTAGAGCAGTCCAGGCATGAACCATTGGACGAACCTTCCAAGGAAGGGTATGCATTCAGGTGGGCTTAGGAGGATTTCGGTTCAGGGTCAGGATTAAGGGTTTTGAGGGCTTTGAGGTTCATATTTGTTTTCACGTTTCTTTGGGTCCGTAAAAGGCTGTGCACACAAGTCAAAGTATGAAGACAGTACTGGGTTGTACGAGCTAGGGTTATTTTGACGTTGCGCTTTAGGGTTTTAAGGGTTCAGAGGGTTGGGGTTTAGGTTGGGTACTGCCCCCACCCAGTAACAGTCTATATTAGGGGTCCTATTCAGGGCTATGTATAGCCATATTATAGTTATCATCCAAGTGTTACTGAGGGGGGGCAGTACCCAAGGTTTAGGGTAAGTATGGGGCTCAGAGTTTAGAGACATGCAGGTCATTCGGCACAGTGAAGCCTTTCTGTAGGTTCTTGGTTTCGCATGTGGAGACGTTGGGGGATCCTTGTTCGTTTTAATTTGACCATGGCAATGACTTTTGGGGGTCGCGATAATTAACAGGTAGGATTAAGTAGTACAGGTAGCAGTACAATAGTAGTACTAGTAGTACAAGTAATAGAACATCCATGAAAATCAGGTGATTTTCGCGTGCGGAGATGTATTATTGCTACCCCAGTCTTATTGCCGATCGAAGTTGCTTGCAGGCTTTCGTGCTCCGAACTTGTTAGAGGCAACAGTAGTGTTCCGGACTTTATTTGCGCGGCGGGAAGATTTTCTTGCCACCCACTTTACATAGTTATTAATTAATGCAGGGCTATGCAGGGCTGGCATTAGGTTCTTCTATGTGGTCTCCCTCCAGAGGAACGAAGGGCGCATGACTCGATTTTTCCAGAAATCCGGGAAGGCATGCGGGTTCCCAAGAACTGCATTTGTGATCAGGGAAGAAAAAAAGGTGCCCATGCCCTGTGACCCGAGTCGTTATAGAAGGTCCGTTGTAGGGACTCAAGGCAGTACTTAGGCTGTCTAGGAATGTACATGAATGATGGTCAACTTGCTTGGTCATCTGATCCCTGAGCCTTTGGTTTCTATCCTGCCCCTGAGAGTACCTAGAAGGTCCAAGTACCCAAAGAATGGGGTGCTAGGTCCCAAGGGCTTTCAATACCTGAGCCCTACTAGTTGGGTACTTGGACCCTTGAGGATAGATACAACCAAGCCTGCCGAACAGGCGAGCCTGAGTGGACCTACGAACAGAAGCCGACATCCGGACATCTTCGGTGTTTTCTTTGCTTTGCCTAGGTTTTCTGAAACGGTATCTGGTGATTCCTAGCAGGCTTGTAAAGGTTACAATGGGGTTTTGTATAAGGGCTACACAGGGAAATCTCTAAGCTTGAATTTGAATCCCCTAAACCCTAAATAGTAGTTTCCATTTTCTTTTCCAGTATCCCAATATATCCCCTATATGAGCAACTGACAATATTAGCCTTGCTAAGGGACCCTTAACAGCGGACAGAAGGGTTCCTCTTGTAGTTTACCATAGTCCCTGTAAAGTATATTCCCTAGTAAGGAACCCATGTCCATCCAATTCTGTTGGAAATATTGACTGTAGCTCATATGGCTAGTACAGATCGTTCTTAGGGTTGGTGTCAGATTGGGCAATTAAACCCAAAAAATGGGAGTAGATGAGCGTTGTATAAGGATCATGGAAAGAACATGGAAACTACAATTCAGGGTTTAGGGTTTGAGGCGTTTGGCTTCGCGCGGTTCCGTGTATGAAGAGTTTTCATGTGTAACATACAAACTTGAAACCCGAACTCGCCCTAGCGAAGTTATGAGCTTGTGCATGTGTACCTACCCAGCAACCCCCAAATCCGCGTGCTGCATAATTACCATGAACCCCAAACCCTTATACACTGGGGACCAAGGATAGAAGAGCAGTACATCTTCTGCTTTTATTGGACCCTCGGAGTCATGCGGACAATGCCTGCGGAGGTGACGCCTGTTCCTTCTCCTGATTAGTTCTTCTGGCGTGTCGGAATATGCTGATCTACACATCTACGTGAGGCAGCGGTTATGTGTTCAGGGCTGGGGTTTAGGTGCAGGGAGAGATGGGGTGAGAGGCTTCAGTCGTCCTAGACATGAATCTGTGCGTTTTCGGCAACAGCAAAAGGCTGAACGTTGCACTAATGCGGTGCCGGAAGTGTGCAGACCTTTCCGTCTGCAGATATGTCAGAAAATCCGCATGCAACAGCAAGGACCCCTTTTCAGAAAGAGAGCCATGTGTCAATTCAAGGAATGCCCCGCATCTTTGTGTCTCAAAGCCATTGTCGTTCACGGAGTCCTCACAGCTTATACCTCATACTTTATGATCTTTAAAGCTTTTCTTTAGTGTCAGGATGTCAAAGTCACGGCTGTTCCACCTTTCGAAAGCATGCAAAGCCATAATTGAAATCCCCTCATGAAAGGCAGCAGCCCTTGTGGGGGGGGTTCCATGCTTTAGGCGGGGGTAGGACATGTGCCATTCAAAGCATCACAGCCTGTAACGACGCGACGAGCAGCCTAAGCCCTAGACCACAAAACCTACATCCTAAAATCTACCAAAAAAGCCTCAGTTTCCAATGTGTTTTCCATTTCGTTCTCCGAGATTATAATATCCAATCCAACTGCCGAGTGCCCCATTGTAGAATCCTGAAGAACTGCACTAACTGCACTATATTCCGAGAAAAGATTCCTTCAAGGTTATACTGTGCACTAGAGCCCTGTACTACTTGAGGCCTTTACATTATCCCAAGTCCCTGGACTGTATAAATCCCTACAACTCCTTTAAACAGGACCAGACAGAATTCAAATGCACCTTTTAAAGCCATTTTCCCAAATCGCTAACCCCAACCCCTAAGCCCCAAACCCTGAAGTCTAAATCCTAAGAGAGTTTTGGGAAGTTGATCAAGTAGCGTGACGGGCTGGACAGCATTTCCAAAGGATGTAAGAACACCAGGCTGAGCCGAGCAGCAGAAAAACTCCGAGGGGTGGAAACAAAACCAAATAGACCCCCAAATCCCAAACTCCGATCCCCACACCCTAATCCCAGGTCAACTTCCCAAACTCCGATCCCCACACCCTAATCCCAGGTCAACTTCCCAGAGCGTATCTTCGTGCTCCTTTTCATGTTCTTTGCCCTCTCCGCCTTCGCCGTGTCGGTGGCCTCTCTCACCCAGGTGAGAGGTTTTCTGGGGCTGAGATCATCTAGATTCAGGTAACGGTATAAAGGGTCCCTTTCAAGGGGTTGTAGGGGCTTTAATTTACAACTTATAAGTATATACACATATAGACTATGCATACAGAGGCGGCCGTTTCATCAACGGGGAATGGATCAGCAAATGGACGCTTTTGGAGAGGTCGCCCGGAACGGGGTATGTACTTATGTATAGAGAGACGCTGCGTTCAGTAGCAGGGAATGGAAAAGATTCAGGGTCTACGGTTTCAGGTTCTTGCTTGGGGATTAGGAGCTCTGACAGGCATCCGGTATTGCTCAGGCGTGGGTCCAAAAGTCTTCTTCTGTTTTTGGGTTTAGGGTTTGGAGGTTGAGAGTGCCACCAATTGCCATCTGACTTTCCCGAGCAGTGCTAACAAACAGCACTCCCTTGGTTTAACCCTGTGCCCTACTCCCAGAACCTGGGCCACTGTCCTAAAGCCTCAACTCTGAACCCTAGAGCTTACATTCCCAGTTCTAGACGAAGCCCAGCAACCTTCAGAAACCCTACACCCTCAAACCTGAAGCCAGAACCTCTCAAACCCACACTGCACAGGTTAAACACGAAAGCCTCAACCCCAGCGATGCGGGCAGGCCTACTTCAAGATCTTCGAGCGGGGCAGAAGCTTCAATGATGAGATGTTCTTTGTTCGGATGTACCTGAACAGGTGCGCCGGGTTGTCATGACAGTAGTGCTCCCTTCACAAGTCCTAAGAAATAGCTTTGAATACTGTTCACACAGGTGACAGTTAACTAGAAACCGGGAATAACGAAGCTCAGACACAATGCGAAGCGGCAGTGGCATCAATGCTTCCAGCTATTTCAGAGATTTGAGATTTGAGTTCCAGGGCTGCAAATAGGTATGTGCCAGTTCTACGCTTGGGCAGCCCGCTAGCAGCATTGTCCCCACAGAGGTGTCACAGAGTCTTGTGTGAATCCGGTATCAAATCCAACCGATGAGGGCGGAACCAAGAGTTAAACACTACATGACAGGAAAGCCACCGGTGCACACAACCGTTGCAAAGACCAGGAAGCCCTGAATCTTCATATCTTCAACCCCCCGCTGATACTCAAACCTAGTAATGGCATAAGCTTGCCGTAATCTCCAACACGTGCCAACCAGGGAGGTGTTATTTCACCCCTGGATGCCAGGATCCTTCATATAACGATCAGTCTGTCAGCTACCATGTCCCCAAATTCGTAGGAAGGTTTTCACGGCCTTTAGACGCGACTGTTATTTTCGGGGGGTAAGAACCCTTATTTGAGGAAATGCCTCTGGAGTCTGGAGGTAGTCGGCCGTCTGAAATACTGGAAGCCTGCAAATCCCTGATGCTGCTGCCGCAGGTATTCAGCAGCTAGGCCGTTGGAGCAGAGAGTCAAGGCGTTCTTGGCCCCTCGGCGTCACCGGCGATCTTGAGACTAGCCGTGATCCACTTTTACCACTTTGGAACTTGGAGTTCAAGGTTCAGCAGCTTACTTTCAAGGTGTGGCAGCGTGTGGCCATTCACCCCGTCCCGGAGATTTAACAGGGGTGTAGCCTTTGCCCGCTACAGCCGGTCTGCAACCAGTCGTAAAAAGACCTTTGCAAGGAAAACTATTGGGGAGGTTACGCGGCATTCAATACTAGCTAGCCCCTTTCAAACAACGGACAGGGATTTCGGCAGTCGATATGTGAAGGGAGGACTACGACCTCAAAAGGTCCTCATAAGAATCTGGGTTTAGGGCTTAGGGCTTAAACATTCGAGACTTCCTGCCTGAAACACTTTCGTTTTACACAGGGACTTCCAGCGATGCCCCGGTCAAGAGTGATGACGAAAACTTCCTCAGGAAGAACGAGCCGTAAGGGTTTTTGGTGTCCTTCAGAGGTACGGTACCCCTCTAGCTTCCAATTCCGGATGAGGCTGCTACAGTTTTTCCGTAAAGCGTAAGTAAGCCCTTTGTGTATCATATCTATACTTGGAGGCTACCGACCATCCCAAAGAATCCTTAGCACCATCATATGCCCTGGAAGTCCCTCCTAGTAAGTAGACTCACTTGGTCAAGGGAGCCTTCAAGCAAGGTCCATGCGCTTTAGAATGTCTTGCGTCCGTCCTTCTGGGGGGTTTGCTGACATCTCTCATTTGCTGTAAGTCGACATATGGGAGGTTGTCAACATTATGGCCCTCTTCGGACTTCGGAACACCCGAAAAATTAGGAGCCACATTATACTGGGGACCCCAAAAGAAACCATGACTTTGACAATCCACCATTGATATGATCGTTTTCCAAAAAGGGGACCCCAAGATAGACCTCCAAATATTCAAAATATTATTATCATTATTAATTGTGGGGACCTCCAAACTGGTACCCCTGATTTTGGCAAACCCCGGTATGGTGGCTCCCATCATCAGTCTGTAGTCCCCCAGTCAGGTTGCTCATGCTCGGGCTCAGGGACGAGGAGTTTCTGAGGTTACAGGGAGATATGTAGGGGTACTCAGGGTTGAAACCTGTGTGGTTGTCATGCTAAACCTTAGTCTGCCTCTTTTTTTTTCCGAAAAGCCATGTCCAAGGCCCATCTTTTCGAGCGCCGGCGCATCTTAGCCAAAGAGACGCCCCATGGCTGCTATTGAGAATCCAATTGTTTTTGGATGTTTTTGGCTGTCGATGGTGTGTGTTGTCCGTTATATGAGCCAGCAGTGCTATGCTACTTCGGGAGTTGTCATTATTTCTGCCGCACGCTCCACCCCAGAAGATTGCCGGATGCCTGCGGTGATGCTGCACGATCTTGGCCAGCGCAAGCCAAGACATGCATCCGCTGTCCCACTCAGGTTCTCTCTGTGCAAAATGCTTGAGCTTTCACCCATCCTTTCTAAGATTGATGGGAAGCATTCTCTAATGTGCCCAAAGGAATCTCATGGAAAAGTTGCCAGAGGCGTCGGCCGAGGGATTTCCGGTGCCGTTCGGGGCTTAGGGGTTTTCAGATGACTGAGGTCAGGGCGGGTGAGCGCATCTTTCGTGAGTACAGGAGGGGGCTTGGTTCCTAAACCCTAAACCCTTTTTTCTTTCCATCGCTGATGGCTTCTCTGACTGTCTCGCAAGCGCCTGTGGGGTAAAGAATGCAACATGAAGGCTAAGGCGGTGGTACTTGCAATCATTCCTCATGTAGGCAATGTAGGCAAGAGGTGCCTCTGAATTTGACCTTCTTGTGGCGCCAACGGCTTGAGTTGCATCTTGCTTCCAAGCATGCTGAATTCCAAATCCTTGTGCCAGGTGTTGAAGAATGAGGTACAGAACATGCTGATCTCCTTCCACCTTCAGAAGCTGGAACTCATCCGGGAGCTGGGGAAGGGTGCCATTCAGGAAATCTGCGCCCTGCTTGCAACAGTCTTTACGCACAAGACTTTCTTCTTCCGAGATTCTGTCGCAGCAGCTTGCACTGGATCCTTACATGAGCAAAAAGCATGCCCCTTATATTCGGACTTCTACATCGGGATTATTCCGATTATGGCAGCACAGTCCGTTGGCAATATGTTGGCAACATGCTAAAACCAGAGTCCCGACTGCAGCGACGACGCGAATGGCGAAGGCACCGGCCACGATACGATGATGACGACGATAACGATGACTGACAGCTAGCACCTATAGTCCCCCTAAGTAGATAGAATATGGGGATTGTATAGGGGTTAGTGGAAAAGAAAATGGAAACTAGTATAGTATGTTGGGGTTATGATGGTGGTGATCTCTCTGAGTTCCGGGCACATATCAGTAGCCGGACCTAGAACCTCAGAAGACTTGACATGTTTGCAAGTACTGCCAGACCGTTTGCGATCGTCATGGTACCAGACTCCACAAGACGCTGATAATGGAGCTTGGTAAGCGCAACCTCCCCAACTGCACTCTTCCTAATTTTTTGGGGGTTGGATTTACCAAAATCATTTAAACAGGAAGCAGGGAAAGACTTACTTGCAGCTACAACCTAAGATCAGACTGCTCGTCGCAAGACGGATCACTGCGGTCATATGCCCAGTGGTTCTAAGCTCTAAGCCCCAGGCCTTAAACCATTAACCCCCCCCACCCTTCCCAAATAAGGAATATTCCCACGAAGATGTAGGGATACTGTGCAGGGATGGTGTGGGGGCTTAACGCTATTGGGAATGGTTTGCTGTCAAGATCAGAATCTGGCTGCCGTGGTACTGGGTCACTGGATTTTTTTTGGTAAAAACCCCGGCATACGTAAATAGATATCAATACTAGTGGCCTAGATAAGTACGTATACTATGGTCCCAGTGTCCTTGTTTACTTATAGTATAGGGTACTTCAAATAGACCGTTATTTCTTCCTGTCTTACTCATGCTTAGTTGGGACCCGAGCTTCGGTTGCAAGGGTTTTAGGGGGACTCTTATGGGCACTACTAAAGGGATCCGCTCCATCATTCTCCACTTGGCACGGGTCGTTCAGTAGAAGAGCTGTAGTAAAAAACCTCCTAGTAGCTCCCTTGATACGCCCGGTTTAGGGTTTAGGGGTTCAGGGTTTAGGGTTTAGGGGTTTAGGGTTTAGGGTTTAGGGTTGAACCCGAAAGGCTTAGACTATAGCTCACACATCGCAAAAGAAAGCCCAGTCGCATTACCTTCAAAACGAAAGCTTCCGGCTGGGAATTGGCAAGTTCCCCAAAATAATGAAGTGCGTCAATTACCGTATGATTCTATATTGAAGTCGGAAGTTGAACGAAGTGTCAAGTTCATCCATGAATCATCTACGCCAAACTCTAAGCCCCCAACCCCAAGACCTAAACTCTAAGTTGAAGTCCTAGACCTGAAGCCCTAAGACCTAAGCTCCAGACCTTTGAATCCAAAGCATACCCTGAGCCCTAAGCTCCTAAATCCTAACTCCAGAATATTCTCAATCTTGGGTCACCGAGGAATATACGGTAATCCACCATAGGGGGGAACACCTAACCTGGCCCCTTCAATTCAAACCCTGGGGAAGCAGAAGCCCACCCAGTGGTGTCGTCATGATTACAGATAGGTTTGGTATTTCGTGGTGCATCTTAGCCCTACATCCGAAGCTAGGTAGGGAAATGCTCAAGTTATACGCAGCTGAGACTCTAAATCCTGCCTTATGGTTACTGGTAGAGAGAATGCTCGTGTTTCGCACCTACCTAGACTCAAGCCGTAAACCGGAATCCGGAACCCTACGCCCTAAACCCAGCATCCTAGACCTGAGCCAAGCTGGGATGCGAACCTTGCGATGCTGTATGGCCATGCAAGTGTCAAAACCCTGAATCCTGGATCCTAAACCCTAAACCCAAAGCCCAGGTGCAGCATCACACCTACAGGACCACATGCCAGGCGTAGTCATCTCCACAATGGGGCAGGCGGTGTTATTTATTTGTGTTTATGTTTTTTTTTCTTCTTCTTCTTCTTTTT